ACTTACATCCATAAAATAATCGCCTTAACTACACAGAAGCGTAAACGCACATACCGTTTTCTGCGGACATCGACGAAGGTTCGCGAGCGCACGCTATTCCTGTTATTTTTCACTCTGGACTTCTGTGATTACATCTAGATTGAACAGTATCCATTCTTCGAAAAAAGGAAGATGCTCAGGAAGCCGGGAATTTTTCCTCCTTTCTTAGGCTTGTGGTTAGCCCTGAACCTCAACACTAGGAGCATATGCTAAATTGCTACGTTAGCTTTTAACAAAATGCTAGATTTTAATCAAAAATAGATGCGTGAATTGATAACACCAGTGTTTCGGGAGGAGATCGTATTCAAATCCTCATGAAGGGGAGAAGGTGAAAATTTCCAAAAGGTACCAATGGTAGGGTTCACCCTGGTTACCAGCTTGACGCCGTCGTCGCCGAAGAGATAGAGAGACCCATCTCTCACAGTATCATCTCACAGTAGGTCAAATTTTACAAAAGCTAAGAAATGGCGCGAATTCACGGGTTATGACTACACAAAAAAAACTCATCTTCTACCTACGATTGTGGCTTTCCTTGACATTCAGAAAGCTTAAGGTTTTGCGAGCCCTCTTTTAAATTTCTATTGCCAAGATGGAGAATGATGTGTAGATTCAACACCTCCATAACACTGGATACGATGCATCCTAGCTAATAAAAAAGGAGGATGTAGTGGTAAAAAATAGTTTGGTACGGGTACCCCCCCAGGAGGCCCGTCGCGCGGCAAGAAGGCAGAGTCGTCGGACGAGTTGCAGCGCGTGATGTGCGATGTAGGACGTGCAATGGGACACTCTTTTTAACTTGACGCGAAATCCCTATAGTGCGCGCGCGACTCGTCCGCTGACTTTGCCTTTTTGCCGCGCGACGGGCCTCCTGGGGGTACCCCGGTTCGGTACGGAAGTGGATCGTTTCGCCTCTACCTGAGACGAGCACTGTCTGCGTCACTCCTTATAGAGGGCTTCTCACTGAGATCGGGAGATGCGACCAATAGCGCTGGTAGTCAAGATGTCAAGAAGAGGAACAATACTAGAGGCATATTAACAAAGTAAAATATTGCGATGTAAAAATGAACACTAACTGATATGGGTTCAAAGTATTCGCGATCTTCTGGATCCGTCCATGTGCTCCTCAACCTGTGAGCGAAAGGAACGGCGAGCTTTACCCACATATGTATTCGCTACCGCAGGCCTGATAGGCGTGGAGTAAATAGCTCCAACCTTCAACTCACCTTCCTGCTGGAGTGTACACGATGCATAAGGGAGCGTCGAGAGCTCTCATAGCCTATTGCGGATGAGCTGACGTTCAAAACTTCTACGGGGAATCTCCACAACCCTCCTTCTGTCTTGAGTGAAGCCTGTGCAGAATCGATTGGATCACCCCTTACTCAGCTCTTCGGAAATGAAAGCCATGTAAAACAGTACTTGATCGGCGTACCTCCCGGATTTGCTCGAGGTGTGAGATGCTTATACACAGTGACCTTGGTCCTTTTGAGTCCAACTGAGCGATTCTCTCTTGAGCTCAACATCTGACGAGACTTTGCTAGCAACGTTTAACAGATTATCAATCACCCGCATTTCACACCCAATCACTGCACACTAGGCAAGGACGCTAGCGTTTCGCAGAGAGCGCTCTAATCTTTCTAGTTAATAGTGTGCTGTTTTCGAGCGCACTGTCATCCGTTCTGCACTCTCACCTAAGTTCTTTTCTACATGCTCACACTATCATTGCTTATCTCCCCTTAGCAGAAACGTGAGCTGGCCCTTAGCTTTAGCAATTTTGACGGATTTCAACTTTTTCCTTTACTGCTGCCTAGCTAGCACCAACGACTTCATTTTGTGTGCAAGAACCACGCCAGTTTGATTCCGGGGCATCCTCCAAGCAAAAATGATTACTGGCCACCAAGCCATCTTTGGTATCTATACTTACTTACTTCTTACTTCTCGACCGCTATTCGTCCCGGGCACGCCAGAAACGCAGGTCGCACATCTTCCAGGCCGCTCTGCTTCGGGCTCTTCTGCGCCACAGCTGGCCGTACAATTTCACGAAGGGGGTCTGCCTCTAGGCCTTGTTTTTCCCCTTGGGTACCAGTCACTTACTCCCTTCGTCCAGCGACCATCGGTGAGTCTAGCCACATGACCGGCCCACCACCGCTTGGAATTGTAGATGGCCATTCGAAGTCTTTCTTACCATCGTAACGAGCTTCAGAATGGTGCATTGAGTATGCGATCTTGGAGCGTTACACCACACATGGCCCTCTCCATGTCTTGCTGCGTGACTGCGAGTTTCTCCTCTTCAGAGACTATCGTCTCCGCCCCTTACGTCATAGCGGGAAGAACATGCGAATTGAAGACGTGAGCTTTGACTTTGGGGATACGTCTTAGAAGTTAGTACATCTCGAGTTTATTGAACGGGTCCAGCCCGCTCTGCGGCGTCGGCTAATCTCGAGCGTGAGATCGTTATTCATGTTGACCGCTTCGCCGAGATACACGTAAGAGGAGACTCGCTCGATCTCCTGGCCATCTAGGAGGATCGGCGGTACTGAGCGTTGTGCATCCACTGATCCTTGGGGGGGGGGGGGATGGATTAGGACTCCGATTTTGCCGGCTCCTTGCCTGATGAGGGTCAAGGACAGGGTCAAGCGTGCGTTGAGGAATCCTCGACATGTCACAGAGGGGGGGGGTCGTATTGGCCCGCTGGGGAGAGATCGGGCCCGATTGATACAGTAGGATCATCGTCGGAGGACAAACATTAAGGATCGAATCGATACCAGGCCAGAGTATTTCCAATAACAATTGATTCCGTCCACACAAAATCTTCGTGATTTAGAGGTGTCCGCTTAGCAATTCTTAGTGACTTTAGTGTTTCATCACCACACAAGTCAAAGGATCCGAAATTCGCACGTTTTCTAGGGATATTTTATCTTTCAAGTAGGTCCTCAAATCCAACGAGATGTGAAGCACACGGCGCATCCCAGAGTGGGCCCAGTTGGTTGCGCGCGCTTCAGCTACGGCTATCTTGATAACGAATCTTAATTCAGGAAGAATCAAGAGGGTTCTGAAAGAGTTCATGTTAAATTACAGAGAGGAGTACACTATTCAACAAGAAACGCAGCCTTCAGCGTCAAATTCACAAGCATGTAACCTTTAAAGTTGAGACCCGCTAAACAATTTTACACTTTTTGCAGAGAGAAAAGCACGAGGATTTTGAATCTGCTCCTACTTCAGTATGTAATCGCTCCTGCAAGGAGCTATAGTCGTTGGGATAGTGCTAATGTAGCGAAAAAGTACCTTTCGGCGGTACTCGGGCAAAAATCCTCAACGTGGCCATTTTTTAAATAGTGAACGTATTTAGCTGCAATTATAGCGAAGTTTGATACGAGGAACAGTACAACTTTCCAGATTGCATGAGTTTGAACGGAGTTATGGCTTTGGAAAGCGTAAAAACTCGCACTCATCACGAATTTTCCTCGTTAATTTTGCAAAAATCCTCAACGTGGCCATTTTTTGAGTACTGGACGTATGAAGCTGCTTTAGCGACCGTTTGATAGAGAAAATCTTCTAGTTTTGTATGACGTATCAACTTTTTGAATTTGACGGAAATGAAGCAAGTTATTGCTCCGGAAAGTGTAAAAACTCGTGCTCGTCTCGAATTTTCCTCGTTATTTGATCTAAATTTGTTATTTCTTATAACTTCCTGTAATTTCAGTACTGATTAGAAAAAGCTCTTCACAAAACTCCCAAATCAGCTTTCAGATTGAAAATTCGTTAACTTTGAAGAAAGTTATAATCATTTGAATATTTGTTCAAATTTCAATAGTAAATAAGCTGCTCCACGGTCAACGCCAAAGTCCAGTCAACACACAGCTGGCGAAGGCTTTTACAAGGCTTCCTTTGAGCGAAAGGGGGACGTGTAAATTGAGAACCATAATCTGTAGTACTAGAATTTGGTAAGTCTTGTGGAGGAAATAAACAAAGAAGAGGTGTTGTCATAGTACGCCATTTCTAGTGACTAGTTTGACGTTTTTTGCTCCGTTTCTCGTTTGCTCGTTTGACAGGACTCGTCATTAATGATCATTCTTTGACTTTTTCACTTTTATACTTTTTAAACGAGTTTTTTTGTGTGGACGATGGGGTAGCAGGGCTTTTTATGAGCAGTTTTGGTGGAGAATTAAACAACTTTTTCATAGTTCGGCTTTTAAAGAGGGTTGTTTCATGGACTTCGGCCTTCGGCAGAGGGGGGGGGTCGTATTTCCGAATTTTCCTCGACGCCTCGCTTGACCCTGGTCAAGGATTGGGCAATATCGGCAAGTATCTATACGCATTGCTCAAATTGTCCTCAATGACACATGGCAGCTTTATCCCTAATGACAAACGAGTTATTGACAATATGGTGCCTAGTGTAGAATAGTATAACAGAATATAAATCACAAAAGCTTAAACAGAATGTTTGAGCACAAAAATAATGTAAGCGCAGCGTCAACATACCTGTAAACAAAAACGACTGATAAGAAATCATTAGCATCTTTTACACGATTGAATTTGACATCAAATAAAAACGATGAAAAAGCTTACAAAAATGTAAAACTTCTGAACAATTATGTATAAAAACTCATCGGGAAGGTGCATGCATATAGGCAATCCTTTGAATCGAAGGCAACTGGAAACAACTCGATACTCTCTCTTTCCTTTAATCTTAGAAAATACTATAACCTACGTGAAAGTACCTAAACGTCCAATAAATCAATGTACAAGTATAGATAAAAAAAAACTTAGATAACTATCTCAAAACGACAACTGATAACAACCTCACGTCGCGGAGCATCGACGGTTATGGAATTAAGGTCAATCAGAAACAAAAAGATACATCTAAAAAAATGACGAGACGGAAAGACAACGTTCGTAACAAATACTGTACAAACACAAACTGTGAGATAGCTTAGAGACGAGTTCGATCGGCGTTGAACCGCTCACAGCTGATGCAACATATAAACGACGACTTCGTATGTCCCCATTGTGATTGCTGTATTCGGGACCGTACGCATCAGCTGCAAACGGAGAAAAAGATTGGCAAAAGTCTATTTAGAAAAAGAATGAAAGCTTGAATATGCTCAACTCGCCGACCGATGCCACGAGAATTTGAGCACGACACGTACGAAAAGAGAAGCACAACGTCTAATGACAAAATAACTGAAATTAGTCTCCTTCAAACCTGAACTGATAAACCACGATACATAGCACGACCACCCTCCTTGTACAAATCGTAAAGGGTTCGGAAGAATCCTCGCTTCACGGATGATTCTTCTCGAAGCCGTGTTCGAACCACTTCTGAAAGATAGGTATCACTTCAAATGGATAGTTAATACAAACGAAATTCAAACTAAAAGAAGAACAAAACCAAACCATGAGGATATGCAATAACACATGCAATAAATTTCGCACAACCTCCAGCAACCATAAAATTCAAAAAGTCCTGAAAAACAGAAGCCTATCGTTATGTGAGTGCAATAAAAATTAGGGTATTCGTTGAACAGCTGCATACTCACCATTTTTCCCTTATCGTCGTCTTCCAGGTGGTGACGAAGAAGAAGGCCACGCAAGTGCTCGTAAATAACAAATTGTATCATTGTTTCTGAGACACCAGCATATGAAGCGGTCACACCCTAAATCGGATTCGAGGTAAAAGCTGACAGAAGTATAACCAATGAGACAATGAAAATACCTTGTAAAATCCTTTGATACCCTCGCGCTTATAAACTCGACGAATCATGGAGAGAATGGTACTTTTGCCTTGATACAGTTGTAATCGCGTTTTCACAAGCCATATTGGGTTGACGGCAGATGCGGCTACGAAACCTGAACAAGTAGTATTGCAAAGTGGTCACGCCAGTGATGCAGTATGTAAAAGTAATGCTGGGAACAAAACATAATGCAAAATTGAACAGTGGAATCGCGACTTCAGCGTTTGGAAAGCTCGAAAAAACGCATTTTGAAATCCATCAAGCAGGTAAAAGATCTCATTAGTTTCATCTAATTGTAAGGAAAGACTGCGTCAATATTGCCAGGAGTTAGGACAGTTTTTGATTTCAGAATGTGGAATCCGATAGTAAAATATATAGAATTATGTAGAAAACTCGATGAAAATCCAAATAAATAGGAGGTTTCGTGGATGAGCGTTGCCGCTAGATAAATAGTTGTAAAGAAAAGTTCATAAAGCCTACAATAACGCGCCATAGGACTAGATGCTACAGTTTTGCCCTGAAATTAAAAGGACTATGAAAATTTAGAATAACACTATTCGAGCAGCATGAACCCCAGAACACTTTACAGTCACGGGCTTCTTGAATGACACTAAAAATATAAGTGGAAGACAAAACGTCACAGAAAAAAAGCCACCAGAAAGCATTGCTCTATGTATGTTCTATATGGTTTTCTACTGGAAGCGAAAAAAAAAACTACTAGTGCGCAAAAAATACCAAAATTTCACCTACGATGGACTTCATTACTCAGTTCCAACCAAAAATATTATTTACTAAAAACATGACAATCCAAGATATTATATATAACTGGTTTTCTAAATTGTCGCCGCCGAACCTTCACCCGTTCTTAAAATCAACGCACCGCATAGGGTGCGCAGCCAGCTTGGCGTAATGAGATGAATGTGCGTTGCTATAATAGTGATAGTCCGAATATCACTTTAATTTTTCAACCCATGGAAATAGAACCGAAGGATGAAACATCTCTTTACTGCGCAGCTAGCACAGATTCCCCTGCTACAATCAGAACCCTGCGTTTGTTTTCATCTTCGCGATAGATAAAAGTACAACACTGATTTTGCACGCCATGGAAATGGCGGTCCTTCGCTACAAAAAGATGAGCAGCAGTTGAACGTGAATGATTGCCCTCCCTGCGCTCAGCAATAAATGTCCGTAACATAAATTACATATGCAAACGACGGCGTCAAAAGAAAACCTACAGGAGCCTTAGCAATGAAATATAATGAAACTACATCTAGTGTAGCTTTGTGGGAAATAGAGCATGGATGTCAGTGATCGAAAACTGAAATAAGAACACTGGAAACGGCTAAGAAGAATCTACAGAATGCGGTGAGTGACACGTAATTTAGATATGGGCTTTAGTGTATAGCGGCGAAGTATGGGTAGTGCGGGCGTGACAGCAGGGAATTAGCGACGAGGACAAATTACAGCAGAGCATAAAAAATCATCAAAAAAAGTTATCGTAATGACGGAAGCGTCAGTGAAATCATTATAGCGTAGGCGAAACCGTCCTCGTTCATATTTGGGATGGTCCACGCATTCAATTTTTTTCAATCTTAGTGGCATCTGAACGTAACACGGCCTACAACGAATTGCGGGACAAGCTGACGTAAAAACGACTTTTCTACCTCAAACCAAGTGAGTGATTACGGAATGATGGAACACTTCCACTGCAACACATCATGTCACGCAGGCAGTACAAAGGTTACAGGGTGCACTAGGAACATGTAACAGACTAGAAAAAAGCGGACTACATACCGCCAACTATAGTGAAATTTTCTCAATGAGTATGTGATACTGGTAAAATTAAGAAGTTGTGAAAAAGTTGATAAACAGAATAAAACTACATGGCTGTGACGTCATAAAGGAAGACGTAGAAAACCAATAACGCCTAATAGTCAAAAGCAAAAAAGTATTTTGTCAGTGTTTGATTGATACAGCAAATAAAGGCACTAGTTTTCTAAAAGAACGGTGTTTTCCGCAGTACAGTAAATTTCACCCGTTGACAAGAGCATGACGCCGTTGCGCTTCCCACCCATATCATCTGCTTTTCTCGCGGATACACGACTTCTCAAATTGTTTGCATTTTTTCTATGGATCACTAACATAACTGTAATAACATGGTCAACCGTGTGGTCAAATGTGCCTCAGATGAATTAGCAAAATTATGAGTTGTAAAACTGATAGCTTGTTTTCCTTTTTCCCCCCCCCCCCCCCCCCCCCCCCCCCCCCCCCCCCCTTTATTTCATGGCTGTGACGTCATAAAGGAAGACGTAGAAAACCAATAACGCCTAATATATATCATCTTGACACAACACATCAAGGAACTTGAGAGGTCCATTGCAGGAGAAGTGTAAAATTTGCTGATACATTGGAATGAAAAATCTTGTTACACTGAATTCTGAAAGTAACCGAACCTTACCGGCACAATCAGGTGTTGATCTAAACAGCTCCAACAAATTCTGACACTGGTTTCAATGCTAGTAAAATGAACCAAGACCCGCCCATTTTAATCTAAAATCTTCGAAAAAGTGGCGCACTCGTGATTTCTGCCACATGGATCATGCACTAATCCTAATGATCGTGATCATCGTCTGCAGTCGAGGCAGCTCACTTTCGCAGGAGCCTATTAAACGATCAATTTCATATCAGCAACGAGCGAACCGAGGCAACACAAAAACTCTTTGCACCAGTTTCACTTTAACGATTTCGTCATCATACAACACACGTAGTCTCTATTCAGTTTTTGAGCTTGCCCAAATTTAACCAACGCCAGCAGATATCACTAATAATACTGACGATGAGAGTAATTGCAAACCAGCTAGCAGATTAATCATCGTGCAGTCACTGACGACATGGTGCAGTTTTTTATGTGAGACAAGTCGCGGAGAAGAAGAGCGCACGTGGACAACACGTGCTACCCTAGGCATGTGCTTCTTTGCAGCAGTCATTCGCTGCAACGCGCCGTTAATCTCGTAGTAGTGTGCGCAGTTGTTGATGGAGTAAATGGCCGATGCAAGGCGGCGACAAGTGTCACGAGGGCGCCGCCAGCAGCAACCGCTCACGTGAATGATTCACCACTTCCAAAACTTTGAGAATTAGGTGAAGAGGTGCAAACATCGAATCGAAACCAATGACGGAACAAAAAGAATGAAATCACCTGCTGTACCAGCGCTCACCATGTGTACAATAGCGCTATTAGGAACGAAAAATTCTGATTCGTTCCAAATGCGTTTGCTTGTCGAGTAAGAGTAGAAGTACACAGCCCTAAATTCAATAACGCTTCGACAAAAGAAGTGAACAAAGGGTGAAGTGGCCCATAAAATTTTGATCAAATAAATCAGTGCAGCAGAAAGTAACACTTACTTGGATGGAGCAACGCCGACAAGATTTGGCAATAATCCCTTATACAAACCGCCGACTCCTTCATTTTTGATAATATAGCTGAAAGAGAAATTTTCATAGATGAGAATAGCTTGAGGCAGTACAATTCATAACAAAATTATTTCCGAGAAGGATGAGAAAGAGACACAGCTAGCCGAGTCAAGCCCAAGAAAGGGAATCGAAGCTGCCATGAAAATCTTAACCCAAATGACGAAAAGATTCCAATGAATGAGCGTAGTTTTAAACTTCAACTTCCCTCAGATCACTTCTCTTACATACTTTGCGCGCAAGGGTGACCAAGAAACATTACAGCGCTCAAGTACAAAATTTAAAATTATCAAACCGTCGACAAAATAGGGACGGACACATGCATTCGATAGTATCTTACCCTATCGAATTAGCCTTCCCTTCTTTGAGCTCTTCTACTTATGAAGGTCCGCAAATAATGGCATATATAAGACAGAGCTCTACAGAGAAGAGATTGTGGAATATGACAACGACGAGTTCGAAAGAAGTGGCACCTATTGTTATTACATTGGCGATTTGTTGCCATGCGTTTATCGCTGTCAGTGACGTACGCTCTGAATCTAAGGGATTTCATTTCATTTCACCATTTCAATTTCATACCCCCTCATAAAATCCAAGAATGCGAAAAGTGTCCCATTAGGAAAACAACCCTCGCATTTACAAATGATGATGTATAACAAAAATGAGTGGCACGAAACAGAAATGAGGTGAATGAACCATGAATGAGTCGAACTCGGGCACATGAGCTCATTTAAGTGATGTTAGCGTTCTTCAATTTTCAAGCAACGCAGTAGAGAATGAACTGTGTAATGCAACTCACGAGAAATAACGTAATATGTTTAATCGCCTCCTTGGAGTGTTTGAGGAATCATGTACTTGTGACTGCACGAATCGCGACAAGTCCAGAGACATACGATTACGGCTAATATCACCTGAACAAATGGGGAAAATATAACAGAAGCAGTTCTAAGCGAAACAAACATACTTGTTCCAACTAATCTTCCGAGAAAATCCATGCCCAAACGACGGTTGGATTCTGAAAGAAACCCCATTACGACTGCCTTTGTTAATCAAATTTAACACATCAACACTACCATAAAGTATTCGAACCAGATTTACCAACCAAGGAAATGCTTGTAAGTTGATGATATTGGTCCTTGAGGAGCAGTCGTTTTACGAGGTATGGAAGGTGGAGAACTGCCGGAGTGCTGGCCTAAAACAACAAAAGATCCTTATTACTCACTTTCAAACAAGTGACTCTAATTCTGCTGTACATTCACTTCAAAGACGAATTCTAAGCAAAAAATTTGACACTCAAGCAAAAACAGGTTGTCGACACTTACTAGCCATTTTATCCTAAGCTGTCAATACGAGTGAAGGTCCCAACAACTTCTTCAAAAATTAACTCCAAATTCAGAATAACCGACCGCCTTGACTGGTACACGGTCCAACTGGTGTGATCCCTTTACTAGATTGCATTCTTGTTTTTACCACTTCCAGTGGACATGTTATACAAGTACCTAAATTAACAATGCGTAGAAATAAATTCACACATCTAATAAATATCTACCGCATTGAATACTGATAGCCGATATTAAAAGCAGCATTCTGAAATGCAGTAAGACTGCTTCTATGAATGATAAATATTGAAAAAGGATATTAAGTGATGTTTCTACAATTAAAAACAGCATTTGAGGCTCATGTGATGCAACTTACATTACCAACTCACCACATGGATGAATTTCCTTTCTTCTCTTTTCAAGCAACCTCTACGGTATGCTGCGAGATTGCGGCCCATAAAAATCAACACAGGAGAACTCTTTGAGTGACTTACAACTTACACCAACTCACTACATGGATGAGTTTCCTTTCTACTCTTTTCAAGCAACCTCCATGGGATGCTTCGAGATTGTCGCTCATAAAAATTAACACAGGAACACCCTTTTAGTGATTGCTTGTGGAGTGATTTGAAACCAGTCTTCCACTCCTTCTTTGAAACAAACACTTCCTCTTTTTTAGCCTGGACACTATACTATTCATAATTCTTTTACGGGCAATTCGTAGTAAACTATACAAACTATTTTGATGCAATGTGAGCACGGAGAGAGGGGAACGCTAATTTTTATACATATTACCTGCTAACCCTAAATAATATGCTTCCACCCACCCTGGATTTTTTTCGTATACCAAGGTTACGTCTGACGGACAAGGAAAGGATCCCAGGTCGCCATGGCCATTCAAGAAGATGTATACGCCTAGATGTGCCTTCGAACGCTGATCTCAAATCTACCTTCCAAATCTGCTAAACGATTCTCTGAACGGAGTTATGAAGCAAAACAGCGCAACGGTAGTGGTCGGGACTCACAGTCAAAACGTCGTAGGATCGGTCCCTTATCGTGTTTACTGTTTTCCATTCTTCAGAATACAGCTAAACGGCTTTTAATAGCCTATTTAGCTGAATTCCTAAAATGCAAAACAGTAATAACGATAAGGGACCGATCCTACGACGTTTTGACTGTGAGTCCCGACCACTACCCGATGTTGTGCTGTTTTGCTTCGTAACTTCGTTCATAGAATGGTTTAGCAGATTCGAAAAGTCAGTTTGGGAGCAGCGTTCGAAGGAACATCTAGGTCTTTATAAGCCTTTCTTGAATGGACGGGACTACCTTGAAGGCTTCCCCTGTGAAAAAAATAACAACAAGGTAGGTAAGCAATATTTCACTCGAAGTTCCTCCCATTCAAAGATCGACACACGCCCTCCCCGAGTAACCCAGCACTCAAATTTCATATTAGGTTATCACTGATAACCAAGTGAAGATGGTAGTAAATGTACTTTGTTTCCCGCAGAGCAATTGCAGATTGCCGTAGCATCGAATCAAGAACATCTGTAAGCACTCGTGATATCATCTTTTTATCGAGAATTTAGCCAAGTGTGCCACGACGTGCACCTCGTTGCGGGAGACAGAGTGTATTACCATTACCTCATTGTAAGGAAAAAAGCTCATGGGAATTTTATACGTCTAGGCTGTGTAAAGAGTTCATCATAATATCACGTGGATAATGTACCCATCAACAAACTGCTCCGGAATTACTCCGCTCAGCAAAAGATCACCTGCTGTTCCTCCGACGGCTCCTCCAATGAAATGAATTAATGCTTCGCGATCCATGAACATTTCCTGAATTTATGAACATTAGACATAGCAATGACTACATTATCGTAGAGATCGGGAATAAAGCCTCGAAGAACGAAGAAATACAGTAAAACGCGATTGAACTATACGTGATATATCTTTCTTAATCAATCGATAATTTCACAACTGCCGAATGAATTCGAAATGCTTCAAATGTAGTTCAGATTAATCAAACAAGGAGCTGAGGAAAAGTGAATTTGCAGGGAACTCGACGTACTTGAAGATTCTTGATAAGTCTTGGAACAAAATGGGAGATATTTTCGCGGTTAACGGGGAAGAGTGAGCAAATAAACAAAGCTCATCTGCATTTAAAACAACTGACTTCGAACTGGAAAAGCAACGCTGGAACCTATTAAGAGAGAAGGTTGTGCGCCTTTGAAGAATGAAATAGTTGCACGAGCGGCGACTGGAACGACACACACGACGAAAGCGGTCGGACGACGGGCGATGGCGGTGAGCGGACGGTCCAGACTGCGTTATCACGTGCCCCTCGTGGATCCAGTGATCACAAGACAACAAACTTTCCGACATTCTCACGTAAACATAGGCATACGTTCCGAAAGAAGCAAGACAACCCACCCGGAACTGGACATTTTGGTCATAGGCTTTGTAGAACATGGAGGTCAAAAACAAAATCGTGCATAGATTTCGTGGACCGGCGCGAAATTGGTGCGCCAACGCGAATTTTACACTTGCGGGGCGAGTATTTTTAGGCTTGGCTAAGTTGGAAGGGGAAAACAAGACTGAACAAATGCTCGCTGCTCTTCTAAAAATTAAAATAACCAGCCCTTTTATCGCTCAGTCCTCGGGTACTATCCTTTTTTATGTGAATTGCGGATCGTAGTGGTGCGTACGGACAAAGATCAAATGCAATCAGTCAGAACCTTTTCGAACGATAAGGAGAACCGCACCTACGGAACAAAGTGCGCTGGTGGTGCGCACGGGGACGGAACGATCGTTTACGAGTACTCGGCCCTCTTGCAAAACCTCCGCGATCCCGTGCTTTGCATCCACCGGATACGTGCTCAGACGCAAATAGCACCCAGAGGTCATAGTCAGCCTGTTGACTTCCGGAAAACAGCTGTAACATCTGTGACAATCGTGATTGCAGGGAGGCACGCGCTGAACAGTCAATCTGCTGAAAATTTCGTAAGCGGGAACTGAAACGCTTTAAAAGCACGGGTCGCGGTCGAACTAATGTGTTTTTCACTCGATAATTAGGTAGGAAGTGCGAAGAGGAACGTTTCTGGCGAAGAGCAAAAAGCACCACAAAACACTGGAACTTTTCTTGTGAGGTCGACCGATACGGCAGTGAAACACAACGAGGAGAGGGAACTTGCGAGAGAACACGTCGTACACGAGAGGCGCAGACGCCGCTGGGGTTGGTAAATTAGCAGATCGCAACGGTCAATCGGAGACATTAGCTCTATTGTCGTGCGTGTGCAACATCTACAATACCAGCACCCCTGTGATTAAAGGTCCTGCTACCTCATTCAATGAATGAATTCTCGAAGGATCAATTGCGACCCGTGCCCTTAAGGCAAGGTCGCGATCTGCCTCACTGACGACGTCCCCATGGGTGGAGATACTAGTGGCGCAACTGTAGAGGATGCGGCAATCTACTGCATTTCGAAACGCCTTAATAAGGCGCTAGGCGCCCACGGTTTTGAGTCCCGACATCCAATAGACCGCACGCGCCCACCGTTCGATATATTATCTGTGACACACTGTTCGATCCCCTGTGTTCTCTCGACGCTGGGTTATTTCCCTTCTCCGCGGCTTAATAGCTCTTATTTCGCTGCCTGCCCCTAAGACTTTCTCCACTTGTGCTCCACTTCGCATCTCTGCTTTCGTATTCGAGGGGGATTACCACATCAAATTGATCTTGACGCTTGCCTTTGAGTAAGTCGCTCGACGGTAAAGGAACGGCAATATTGGGCTTCAACCACCGTCACTTCCGCTTCGCGCTCCATCCGTGTCTGCATCTCTCACGTCTCCCACATCTCTCGTCTGTTTGCCATGAAACTCTCTCATAAACACAAGCACTCTCTTCGCCGAAGATTTCGCACTGCTTAGGAATGTACAAACGGCCGTAACACTTTCGCATACTAGTGAACTCATCTTTCTACTACCCAACGTTGTGAACGTTCAAAGCCACTTATCAGTCCTTGTCTCATTATCATTTATCAGTCACTGTTAGACGTCGATTGGCTATGATGACGCGTGTTCTCCAGTGAGCAAACCGTGCCCAACCCCAGCTGCTTGGAACAACAATCCCTCTCGCTATGTCACTCGGAGTGATTCAACCATCTCTCAAGCAGACATAAGAAAAGGAGCAGTTGTTGTCTGCATCACTTCTTTAGGAAGGTTGGCCACCCTTTGGTCTAGGACAAGGGCTACAATACCGCTACTAATTTTTGTTCAATCGACGGAATGCGACGCAGTCAGTCCGTCGCAACCGTCGCCTCGCCATAACTCGTGAACAAATGGACCAGGTCATTCGAAATTTATACCACTGGATAGCCCTGCTCACGAAGAATTCAACGGTATAGAGGACTATTGAGTTTCTCTGAATTTTCAGCTTCATTCTCATGAAATTTATCAAATTACCTGAGGCTGACTCATTAGCGGGCGTCGCTCGCTATAATTATAACCAGAGGGGAAAAGGTATTAATGGTAGTATTTAGCGAGTAATAAAGTTATTATTTTACTTCTATGTAAAGTGAAAAAGCGACTGTTGTGTTCTTCAGATAGTGCTCGTCATTTTGGTACCGAATTCATCCCAGGTGGGTCAGCTTTGATAAAAGTCATTTTTGCATGGAAAAGCTCCTTTGGGCCGAAGTATAGCGAAAACTAATAGGATCTGAGCCTTGTCACTTAACTTTCCTTTTCTACAGAGCCAACCCCGTTGACGAGAAGTTTTTGAAGTTCCTACCTAGCACTGGCTGTCAATTTCGAGGTCTTGAATCAGAGAGAAATTCACATTTTTTCATGGAAAGAAAATAGTACAAAAAGTATACCATTGTATTCCTCGTTAAAAATGCTTTACATTAATATAAATTACAAATCACAAAATTCTCTGTGGTTTTTTCGAGTTTTATCGCAGCCATCTCTCCTGCACTAAACCATTCTGCCCAATTAGGCGTCTCGCCGAGCTGCTGACCTCCAGATCAACGAACCACACCTTAACTTTTTCCCCTCTCAATTACCAGAGGGCTTTTGTCGCACCTCAAGATCAACGAGAGAATGGTGAGACTGTGTTATTTTTCTATGAACAGCAAATGGTCGAACTTAGCTAATCAAGAATAGATCACTGTGTGCCACGCTTCTGTTGGGAGACCCATTGAGTGAAGCATAACTGAAATGGGAACTGGGGGGCAATCATGATAGTGTTATACCGTGGTTTTGAACCAAGTGAAAGTGAGGTAACGGGTTCCGATTACGTGGTACTTGTATAGAAAATGAGTTATGCTTCACTCAATGGGTCTCCCAACAGAAGCGTGGCACACAGTGATCTGTTCTTGATTTAGCTAAGTTCGACCATTTGCTGTTCATAGAAAAATAACACAGTCTCACCATTCTCTCGTTGATCTTGAGGTGCGACAAAAGCCCTCTGGTAATTGAGAGAGATCCGGAGGTCAGCAGCTCGGCGAGACGCCTAATTGGGCAGAATGGTTTAGTGCAGGAGAGATGGCTGCGATAAAACTCGAAAAAACCACAGAGAATTTTGTGATTTGTAATTTATATTAATGTAAAGCATTTTTAACGAGGAATACAATGGTATACTTTTTGTACTATTTTCTTTCCATGAAAAAATGTGAATTTCTCTCTGATTCAAGACCTCGAAATTGACAGCCAGTGCTAGGTAGGAACTTCAAAAACTTCTCGTCAACGGGGTTGGCTCTGTAGAAAAGGAAAGTTAAGTGACAAGGCTCAGATCCTATTAGTTTTCGCTATACTTCGGCCCAAAGGAGCTTTTCCATGCAAAAATGACTTTTATCAAAGCTGACCCACCTGGGATGAATTCGGTACCAAAATGACGAGCACTATCTGAAGAACACAACAGTCGCTTTTTCACTTTACATAGAAGTAAAATAATAACTTTATTACTCGCTAAATACTACCATTAATACCTTTTCCCCTCTGGTTATAATTATAGCGAGCGACGCCCGCTAATGAGTCAGCCTCAGGTAATTTGATAAATTTCATGAGAATGAAGCTGAAAATTCAGAGAAACTCAATAGTCCTCTATACCGTTGAATTCTTCGTGAGCAGAGCTATCCAGTGGTATAAATTTCGAATGACCTGGTCCATTTGTTCACGAGTTATGGCGAGGCGACGGTTGCGACGGACTGACTGCGTCGCATTCCGTCGATTGAACAAAAATTAGTAGCGGTATTGTACAAAGTTCGGTTCCCTGCTCTCCATTACTTCAAATTGGGTGGCCCAGAGCTCGGGAGAATCAGGAGGGTATCATACTTCAATTTGTAAGCCACCTTCTACCCACGTGGTGTAGAGTCGGGTACTTCTGCGACAGCCACTTGAAATTACGGGCATCTTGCAGTTTTTTCGTGTCTCCCCTCTCTGACTACTCTCTCGCCCCGCCCCCCGCCTTCCCACGTACTTTCAGCAATGACGACAAAAACTAAGAAAACATCTCACAGTTCATTGGTGACACCTTCAGGCAGCCATATCCTTTGGCGGTTCAATACAGCGGTTCTTATTCCAGCTAGATTTCCTGCAGGTGACGTCATAAAGATCGTGGACTGGCCACCCCTCAAGGCATGTGAATGACCAGTCCACGGTCACTATGAGATCACTTTCAGGAAATCTAGCTGGAATAACAACCCGGAACGTCAGTGGCTTATCTTTACTACCACGTTATACAAGAAGAGGGTGTAAACAAAGAAAACTTGAAGTGTTGCTGGCGAAAATACGATGATTAGCCTGGTTCGTTTCGTATAATCGGAGCACCTTTGTGT